ACATCACTGTTGCTTTCCCTCTTTAAGGAAGTTACTATCCTGCACTGAGGGTCATGTATCTGTGTGACCTTTTATTGCTTGTTCTGGATTGCCTTCACCACAGAGCAGAGCAATGCTACATTTAAGTTACCTTAACTTTGTGCTCATTTAGATGATGAATATGAATTCAAAAGTTATTAGTTGAACAGAAAATTACCGGTTTTCATATTGTTGGAAGTGGGGTCTGTTAATTTATTTGGTGTAAATGCTAAACCAGCTCTTAGATTAGTGGCTTAGGGGAACCATTCCCACCAGAGTACAGTGCTACACTCTGTGTAGCATTATTATGCTACAGAAGCTAATATCTACGAACCAGTGATTATGTTGGCTTTATAAGCTAATTTCAATCTCAAACTGTTACATTATTAGCCTCAGTTCTGGTCGGATCACATCCACATTGAGGTAAATAAGTAAAAATCTGCTTACTAATGAAATGAGACACGTTTTCCTTTTTTTCTTTTATTGGTAAATCCGTAACACAGAATTTTTACATTTTTTTACACATTCAATAGCTTAATATAGTTCACATTATCAATAGTTTTTTTTAAAATAATCACTCTTTAATGTTATTTTGCCAATATGTACAGTATGGTAAATTCAGACACTTGGTCAGCCTGGTCTGGCTATGGCCAGTGCTGCTGCAGTAAATCCAACATGTGACCGGGGTGCACTCCAGCCTCTACGGCAACTTCTACCACATCTTTGTCCAGTTTGTTCCTTACACACTTCCTAAGGATGTCAGGTAAATTTGTTGTCCATGGCTGTTTTCTGATACATTTATTTCTCTCCTTTCAGCCCGACGAGCTGGAGGGCGTCCACACGCACACCTTCAAGCTGAAGCCCTTTAAGAAGGCGAAGAGTTGTGATATATGCAAACAGGCCATTACCAAGGAGGGCCTCATCTGCAAAGGTGAGTATTTAGTTTAAATGGGTTTAATCTTACGGTTGTTTTACAGCAAAAACATCATGGTTGAATGACCAGAAGTCATTTTCAACTATTTTTACAGTATTTTTAATCTTTTCAAATCTCATTTTATGCACATTTTTATCTAAAATGTGTCTATTCTTCTTTGTTCTGTACCCTGCACACATATATCTTTCCTTCCTGCCTGTAATTCCCCCGCCGGCCCCTCTGCTCCCACAGTCCAGTCACATGTTTCACTGCTATTTTTACAAGATCCAAGAGGGTTTTTTTTATTGTCACTCCAATGAAAAGTCCAGTCAAACCGAAGGTTAAAAGTCTCCCCAGCAGCTTCACTTTGTCCTTCACTTCTAATTTTCCTTTCCTCCACCCTATTTTTATTTACACACGCTCAGTATCCGTTTTTAATTCAAAGCGACGTAAAGACGAGCGACACAAACCGAGGCAGAGAAATGCAGAGGAGCGCAGGCAGCAGAAGATCGGGCTCGCGAAGAGCTTTGGCTGAGGATTTGGTGTTAAAATTAGCATAGCTGCTGCTGCTGCATTAGCCTAGATAAGAGGCATAAAAGAGGGGGGAGAAGAAAGGGAAAAAAAAGCGGGGATGTGAGGTGGGGTGTGGGGCAGAGCCAGGCAAAAGAGCAAGAAACTGAGGGAAAGAGAGGAGAGATGTGATCCAGTGATTAAAAGGAGGTTGAGATTACAAACAAAAGGAAAATGCGCACCTCTCTCTTTGATGTTGAAACACAGCAAAGATCAACCTTAAAACTGCCTGAAACTACTCCCACAAATTAGTAAAGTCAATGTCTTACTGAGATTGGTTCCTCATTGTTAAAGATTGGCACAAGAGAGGTGTCTTGGATGCATCTCTAACTTATTCTGCTTTTCCTGCAATCACAGACTGAGGC